CCCCCAGAAAATTGTTGACTCACATACTCAACCAGAACTTTTATTAATCGCTTCAACCTGTTGTAAGGGTGCTCTGTTCTTCCAAATATAGCACACTTGGTGAGCTTGCAGAGGCATTCCAACAATAATGCTTGTACAAAATAATGCGGTTACCCCCTGTATCGTGTGTTGACAGTCGCCAACCTTTTTTAATGACTCTTTAATAACTCCACTGAGCCATGTCATACTTTTCGAGTCAACTAGGGTCTCACCATCTTATGTGTTTACTGACTTGGTTAACCAGCTGATGTCTATGCTATTTGCACCCTATCCTGCGGAGACAGACCATAAACGATGTCTTCCTCTCAAACCTCCAGTGATGTAGGTGGTTTCCACACAAAAAGGGGGTATACGGGGTTGCCAGTACAGGCGAATATACGAGTGAGAAGAAGACGACTCGATCGCTGGGACAGCACTTTTATTCGCCTGATGTTTCGAGATCCGTCGCGGATTCATCATCAAAGGCATCAGCAATAGCAGGTACGGGTTACGAGGCCTGTTAAAAATACTGAACGCTTAAGTTTGGCGTGGACGCGCCCATGGTCTCCCGAACTGCCCCATGTCAATGACTGCATTTTCTGCTTCAATTTGTTCGTCGTCGTCGTCGTCGTCGTCCTCCTCCTCCTCCTCCTCCTCATCATCATCATCTAGCCAGTCGCAGTGTTATTGTGTACGCCTGAGAGCTTTAGAAAAGTACTCGAAGTACGTTAGACCGTAGTATTTGCATATGGCGACTGTAGATAGCGGTCTAAGCAGAGATGGAACCTCGCTGAGGTTTCATAGTTGAGATAAACAGTCACAGAACCGTCGACCTTTGGTCAGTTGTCAACATTTCTTAGTTGAAATCTTGCCCGATCGGCCCAAATAAGTTTGCTTTACTGAAAAGAACACTGTCGCAAAGGTTAGTCAATGGAAGAGTTGGCGTTCCAGGTGTTTGTACAAATAAAGAAGAAGATTGATCGAGCACCTGTCCGCGGATTGTTCACCTGGCCCACAGATGAGAACTCAATTAATCGATAGTGCCGGTTTGGTGCCGGCATACAGAGCCCTGCACAATCACCTTGGTAATTGGTAATTGCTTGGCCTACACCCCCTACAATGGTCGTCTTTTTGCTGCTGCTGTTGCTGCTATCTCTGAAGGTAAAATCCCGTACGAGTTTGAAAGTTGAGAATAATAAACAACCTGTCCGGATACTCGACCAGTCTTGTGCTTTACTCATAGGTCAATACAAGCAGGCTTGTTAATGCATTCCACTCCATCACGTTATTTTGAATCGTCTGCTTGCCCAAAAATCTCATAGTACGTTTGGTGCTTGAAATATACTTTTATTTTACAAAGCGGAACATGATGTGAACCAATCACGCGGCAGGTATCTCAATATCCTGCTGTAGTCTAGTAGCCTTTTTATTACGAAGGGATTGCTACCGGAAATCTATTAACTATAAGTCGTTGTCTCCCATTGTTCCAGCCGTCAGAGTTCTAGATTCACGTGAATATTTGGTTCTTTCAGTGCTATTATTTACCTGTCAATAAGTTTCTCTAGCAGCTATCAAAACAACCTTGAGGAGCTTGTTGTAGCGTTAGGAGAAAAATGTGTTGATGCTTTATTTTAGACTACAAACGCGATGTATTCATTCGTTCCTTAGTTTAGGGGACAGACGTGCGTCGGACAATCCTGATGGACAATAGGTCCGTACAATTTCGTCCATGTGCGCGGCGATCTTATGAATCCTCCTCCTCACGAATAAATGAAAACGTTCGCGTTCCAGGTATTTGCGTGGATAAAGAAGATGGATTGTCGAGCACCGGATAATAAACAAATGGATCCGGTGCTCGACAATCCTTCTTCCTTATCAAATCCTCTTACGGCAATGCAGGTAGTCTGGCTACCCTACACTTATCTACACACAGACAAAGGACAACCGCCTCTGATGGTTTGTTATTCCATGCCACAGTGACATACCCCCACACTGCATTTCAGGCGCGCACTCTGGTCTCGGAATAAAAA